AAGAGGTGGGGCAGGCGGACACGGCCAAGGATCGCGGGGAGGCGGCCCCAAAAAGTACGGGTCGTCCCGATCCAACGCACGCAAAGATGAGCGGGAGAATGAGCCCAGTGAACAACGAGCACCCATCCCGACCTGAGACAGCGCAGCTGCCCAGTGGGTGATATCGATGTTTGCGCCAGGAAAAAGACGCAGCAAGGAAGACACGTCAGCGACAAAGGGCGCGACTTTAGCAAGGGCAGCGGGGGTGCACGCGACAGGACGCGCGCTAGCAAGGACACCGCTCTCAGGGGCTGCACACCCCGTGCGGGGGGAGCTCGACTCAGGGCAGTGGTGGCCAAAATGGCCGGGTGGATACGAGGGGCGGCTCGGAGCGAAGCGAGAGGCGTGATGGCGGAACGAACTCCTCCCTGCGGGGCCGCACCAGCATCGCTGGAAGAGCGCATTCCTACCCTCACGGCCTCGCTGCGCCCAAGCGCGCCTAGCAGCCGCAGCAGCGTCAGCACGGACTGACTGCGGCGCTGAACCTCGGCCACTGGAGGCAGCTCCCTCGCAGGTGACGGGCAGCAGCGGTCCCGTCACTGCTTCTGGGGTGGCACCTTCGGTACCTTGGGAGGCACCTTTGGAGTCCTGGGCTGCTTGGGTACGTGAGGCGGCTGCTGGGGAAGCGCGGCGGCGCGCTCGGCGTCGAGGCGCGTCCGAAAAACCTGCAGCTCCTTCATGTACTCGCCCTGCGCGGACAGCCAGCGGAAGTCCACGAGGGGTGAAAACGGGGACTGCGCCTCGCGCTCCGTGTGCTGACTGGTGACGCGACATGGAGTGGGCTCCACCCCCGTGAGGAACCATGCGGCCTCTAGGCAGCCGCGGTCCCCCGCCTGCTGATCGATGAACATGCACTGGCAGGTCAGCAGCGTCTGAACCCCGAGCGGGTCTCGCACGGCGGGACCGTGCTGCGCCAAGGTAGCATGCCAAGCGCGCCGCCGTGCGATCCCCCGCATCTGAGTGGACGAAGAGTTGAGGTCGCCCGAAGATGCGGACGGGGCCTGAGCGTAGTCGCTCAGAAACCCCAGTAGCGGATGAGCTGCTGGGCGGGAGCCCCGCCCCTGCTGCAGGGCTAGGGCTGGAGACTGATGCAAGCACATCAGCGCCATGCTGAGGTCCGACTGGGGAGCCGCAGGAGGCGGGTCCACGGCGTCCGCGCCGCCCGCCTCGGCGAAGCCGCCGACCGAGGCAAGGTCGTGTTGCCCAGGCGGAGGCGCGGGGCCCAGCGGCGAAAGGCTTTGCTGATGGCCTTGGGGTGGCCAGGGGCAATGCAGCCATCCTGTCGGCCACGTCAGCCAGGTCCGAAGGAACCCCGAGCGACCGCGGCAGGTCGTGAGCGCTCGAATGACCCGCTGAGTCTGACAGGGGCGCGGGAAGGTCGCCGCGAACCCTGGGCGCCCGCAGCACGTCGCGTGGACTCGAGCAGATAGCACCGCTCGTAGGAGACACGAAGGCGGCCGGCGACGCGTCGAGTCGGCGCAGAGAAGAAGGGCACCGAACGTGGGCTGACGACGTCCCGTTGCCAACGCGGGACGCGCCCGCGCCACATGGAGTAGGATTTCGTGCACCTGACACGTCGACCCCGCTCGCGGGACAGGTCGGCGGCCAGAGCCCGCCCGGGTCGCCCGTGCAGCCGAACTCAGAAGTAGACTCTGCCAGCACCGACGCTGTGTCGGGCGGGGGCGTGGGGGGGTCCCCATGCACCCCGAGCGACCGCGGCAAGTCGCAAGTGCCCGAGCCCGCAGCACCGCGCGAAGGCACAGCGGCGGCGGGTGGAGGAGTAGCCTGGCAAGCAGCCGCAACGAGAACCCCCCGTGAAACAGCGGCATCGGCGGCTGACGCCATCGCATATGTCCTCATGTGGGGCGGCAGGGCTGACAAGGATGAGGCTGGATCCCCGAATAGCCCGAGCGAGTGCAACAAATCGCGGGCGCCCGCACGCGGGGATGGACCACTGGCGGCGGGCGCGCCGACACCACCCACGAGGCTGGTAGGCGGTGGGAGCCCTCCGAAATCACCATACCAACCCAAGTCACGGGCAGCGCACGCCCAAAGTGAGGCGGGATCAACAGCGTTACGGTGGAGCGACGGGAGCGCCTCTGGGTCGGCGAGACCTGGCGGCGGCCCCGCCCGCCCGGCTTGGAAGGGCGATCCACCACCGACGAGAAACGACTCCGCGGGCGTGCACGGACTGATCGCAGGCGGCACCCGAGCGCCGGCCTCCATGCCGGAGAAACGCGGAAGCGATTCCACACGCCACACATCCGGCTCCAACGGCGCGACCAAACCGGGTGGCGGACGAGGAGGCAACCCCGTCGGAACCCGTGGCGACGGCGGCCTTCGCTCGGCAGCCGATGGAGGGCCAAGGCCCGGAGGGGGGCCGATACCCAATTCGGCGAGGCCTGGGGGCGGCAGGGGACGCCTGCCCTGCAGCGTCGGCGGCGGGAGGGTGCAGATAAGGGGCACACCGCGCTGAACGTCAAAGGCGCTCGCCAACAAAGCGGGTGGCTCAGCTGATGACGCGTCCCACCAGGACGAGGACAGGCCCGCCGCGTCGGTGCCTGGAACCCGGAAGGCCGCGCGAAGCGGCCACTCGGTGCCCGCTGAGCAAGCGGGGCCCCGGTCGAGCCATGGCGTTGTGAGGGGGGGAGGGGAGTGAGTGAGGAGGTGGAGGTTAGCAGGACTCTCCTCCTCCCATTCCCCCGTCCCCAAGGCGGTTCCCTTCGCGCGCTCTGCCTCCTCGCCCGCGGTTCGGCGGGCGTGAGGCTGGCTCAGAGTTGCAGTGGGCTGCGGGCGGTGCGTACTGCGCGGCGGTGGCTGGTGGGGCGCGAGCAGTAGACCGTTCCTCCCTCTGGCGGCTTGTTCTTCGCTGCGGAGACCCAGGTCTTCAGCCTCCTCGTACCCCTCCTCGTCCTCGTCGTTTCCCCCCGCCTCGATGGAAGAAGAAGAGGGAGGCGAGGGGAGGAAAGGCGGGAGCTTTTGGGTTCGCGTCGCTGAGGCAGCGCTCCGCTGAGCAGTCTCGTTGCGAGAGCGCCTGCCGGCGAGCGGTCGCGCGGCAGCAGCTGTAGCAAAGGAGCGTAGGTCGGGCCAGATGGGACCTCCGCCGACAAGCGGATGCGCCATCCAGGCGGCCAGAAGGGAGAGGAAGAGCAGAGCGCGCGCGAGCGAGCGCGAGCGAGCGAAGCTCGCGCGGAACGGCTCAGGAGGACCGTCCGAGGGGCTCGGCCCCGCGAGGCGGTGAGGGCCGCCTCGAGCTGAGCGCGGCGCGCTGAGCGGGCGCCGACGAAGGCACCGACCCCGGGACGCAGGGCCCGAGCCCTGTCGAGCGCCTGGGCTCCTGGCCCGCAAGCAAGCGCTCGGGCCGCGCGGCGGTCCTGCTCGAGCGGAGCAGGCGCCGCACCGCGCGGCCAGGCGAAGGGCCAGAGCCTCCGCCACAGGCACGGGCCCAGCAGCCCGGAGCAGCAGCCTGCGCAGGCGCTGCACGCGGCCGTCACCCAGAGGAGGGCAGCGACCGTCGAGAGCAGCCGGGGAGAGGCCCCGCTGCTCAACTCCACCGCCTGCCCGAGGCAGACGGTGGGACAGGCAGAGCCCGCCGAGGGGAGGGGGCAAACGGCCCCCTCACCCCCAGGCGGGTCTGCCTGTTGGGTGGACCAGGCGGTAGCGGAGGCCCCTGGTCCTGAAGCACAGAAACGGGGGCGGCGACGAGCCGCTCGCAGAGCGCGGCCCGCACCCCCCGAAAAAGAATGTCCCCCGCGCCCTGGAGAGCCACCTACGCGATCGCCTGCAAAAGGCGCCCGCGCGCGCGGCCGAGGGGGGCGCTTTGGGGCTGAGAAGCTGCAGAGACAGCAAGAGCGCGGGTCGCAAGGAGAATAGAGAGGAGCATGATGATGATGCTGATGATGATGACGACGACGATGACGATGATGATGCTGCTGATGATGATTGTGATGAAGAAAATGATGATGTTGTTGATGATGATGATGATGATGATTATGCTGCTGCTGATGATGATAATGCCGATGCTGAGGATAAGAAGTGATGCTGCGACGGTGATGATGCTGCTGATGCTGATGATGATGCTGAGGATGAGGGAGGGGAGGCCGAGGAGGAGGAAGGAGGAGGAGGAGGAGGAGGAAGAGGAGGAGGGGAAGAGGAAAGAGGAGGGGGGGGAGGAGGAGCAGAAGGATGAGGAGGATGGGCATGGTGATGGTGATGGGGGTGGGGATGATGATGATGATGACGACGATACTGATTCTGATGCTGCTGCTGATGATGATGATGATGTTGATCATGATCATGATGATGTCGATGGCAATGACGATGACGATGATGATGGTGATGAGGATGAAGATGCTGATGCCGATGCTGATGATGCCGATGCTGATGATGCTGATGATGCTGCTGATGATGATGCTGATGAACAATATGACGATGATGATGATGATGATGATGATGATGACGATGATGATGGCGATACCGATGACGCTGCTGCTGCTGCTGCTGTTGCTACTGCTGGTGATGATGCTGCTGTTGCTGATGATGGTGGTGGTGATGCTGATGCTGCTGCTGATGCTGATGATGAGGATGAGGGAGAGGCGGAGGAGGAGTATCAGGCTGAGGGTGAGAGGGACAAGGAGGAGGAGAAGGAGGAGGAGTAGGAGGAGGAGGAGAAGGAAGCGGAGGATGAGGAGAAAGGGGAGGAGGGGGAGAGGGCGAACGCGAGTAATTGGGCGAACGGTGGGGAGGAGGCAGATGAGGATGAGGATGAAAATGATGCTGCTGCTGATGATGCTGATGATGATTATGATGATGATAATGGTGAGGATGCTGCTGAGGATGATACTGATTATGATGATGAAGAGGAGGAGGAGGATGAGGAGGAGGAGGAGGAAAAAGAGGAGTGGATGGGGGAGGCCCAGGAAAGGGAAGGCGGACGAGGTCATCCTCTTCCCCCCTGGGGCCTCTGGCTCCCAGCGCTTCTGCTCGGGCCTCTCGAACAGCAGGTGCCGCCGCACAGCGGGGCATCCTGGCCCGAGGAGGGGGCAGGATGGGGAGGAGGGGAGGGGAACGAGGAAGGGGGCGGGCGGGGGAGGAGGGGATGGGGAGGAGGGGGGGGGAGACGAGGAAGGGGGCGGAGGAGGGGAGGGGGGGAGCAAGGGGTAGGATGTGGAAAAGGGTGGGAGGGGGAGGGGGGCAGGGAGATGAGGGAGGGGGAGGAGGCAAGCTAGGTGCGCTCGCGAAATATCTGACGTCCTACCCCTCCCCCCCATCCCTTGCCATGGCGTAAATATCCTCTCTATTTGCACTCGGATGCCGAGCAGGGCAATGATCGCAGGATGGTACGCGATGCATGGTAGAGCACGGCATGGAATGGCGTAGAAGAGCACGTCAGAGCGTAGCATGCCATAGCATGGTGTGTCATTGCGTAGTGAAGCATTGCATCACAAAGCATTGCAACGCAAAGCATGGCATCGCACAGCGGCGCAGAACACAACACCGCACAGCATGCCATGGCATGGCGTAGGGTTCCCTGGAAAGTAAATCGATTATCTTCGAGAGGTCTGGGCCGGTCTGGAAGCGTGGCTCCATGTCTAGCTCCTTGGGCTCCCCGAAAAGCTCGACACAAGGCGGGGCTGATGGAGAGCACCCGCTGGCTCTGCTTTCAACCTCATCTTAGAAACGGGGCTCCCGCTTGATACTTCCTGAAAACGACGACGCCCCAAAGTGGGGGGGCTTCTGCGGCCCAAAATATCAACGAATCAACACCGAACATGTAATCATTTCCGATGGTTTTTTCGGGGGACCATTTTCTGGATTTAGGGGCCCAATTGGAAGGACCGAAAACGCCCGCGTTGCAGCGGGAGCACGATTTAGAACAACCAGAGGCGCAGAAATGGGGCCAACGCTTCAACGGGAACAACTTTTTGAAAACAAACCCAAGCTAAAACCCATTTCCCGGGAACCCTGTGGAAATCAATACGCGGAGGGGGGTCAGATATCTTCGGGAGGTCATCAGGACAGAGAGGAGAGTTGTATTCATATTGTGTAATTGTGGAGGAGGGTGAGGGCGAGGTGGAGAGATAAGGAGGAGGAGGAGGAGGAGGAGGAGGAGGAGGAGGGAGTATATGAAGGGGCACGAGGGCGAGGCGGGAGTAGGCGATCGACGTTGTATCTATGCGCCCCTGCTCACGCTCCGAACCTACGAGGGACCAAAGCGGCGGCGTGGATACAGTTCTGAGTTCTGCCCTACCGAGCAAAGTTTCTTGTGCATGCCATACTTCCCCTGGCGCTCAGACTCAGTGGGGAGCAGCAGCAGGGGTATGGATCGAGCGTCAATCGTCGAGGGAGGTGGAGGATTAGCACGGACTCGCAGCTGTCCTCGTCATCGGAGGAGTGGGCTTGAGGGGAGCCGAAGCAGAGATGCCTAAGACAGGAGGCATGGGCAAACGAAAGGGGGGAGACACCCAGCGTACCGCGCGTGACTGCAGGAAATGCAACGCTAGGACTCGTCTGCCCCCTGCTCACACCCGACAATGCAAGGCTCGACCCTCGCTTCCCGAGAAAGGCCTGCGGCATTCATGCTAGCCGCCAGTGGGCCGCGCCAACGCGAGAGCTTCGACCATCGCCCACCTCGCCCCCCCCGCCCTTCAGCAGCCAGCACAGCTCGGAGAGCAAGCCACCTACTCCTCAGAATTCGGTTTCTTGGCACCTGGAGCCCCCATGAGATCAAGCGCTTCTGGCCCGTCCAGGGGAAGCCGTCCCTGAAAAGCAGGGGAACGACCACAGGCCTTTAAAGGAAACCTTCATTCTTCTCACGTGGTCGCGGCGCCGACGGGGGGGGAGGAGGCCTCAGCAGGAGGTTGACGATAAAACCCCCTTCCTGGCGTGCTCTGCGCGCCAGGGACGGCTCTGGAGGCGCTGCCAGGGGGGGCCCTAGCGCCGATCCAAGAACTCAGCGCGGCCCTCCGACAGTTTGTGTGCATGCTGGTGCTCTTCTTCTACGTCTTCTTCGAGACGAGGTGGCGGATGATGAGGAGGAAGTTAAGGACGAGGATGATGATGATGAGATTCAGGACGAGCCATCCGCAACGCGCGCCATCCGCAGCTCCCGCCATCACCGAACAACGGAGAAGAAAACGAGGAGGATGTGGAACGAGGGCTCCGTGGCGCTGGCCCGGGGGATAGCCAATGGCTCGGACCGAGCTGGCGCTGGGGGGGGGGGGCCGACGAGGAGGAGGCGGAGACGAAGGAGGAGGAGGAGGAGGATGAGGAGGATAATGAGGAGGAAGTGCAGGACGAGGAGGAGGAGGACGAGGAGGAGGAGGAGGACGAGGCGCAGAAACAAACCAGGCCTCGCTGCTTCGGGCCGGCGGCCGCCCCGTGGCGCTGCTCCCCGGCGCGGCGCGCCGCACCCGCCAAGCTGCTCGCGGGCGACGCTGGCTCCGTCATCGCGGCGGCGTCATCGACGACTGAGCGGGCCAGGGAGAGAGAGAGAGAGAGAGAGAGAGAGAGAGCGACGTCGACGTCGACGAGGATCGAGGGTCGTCAGGAGGCAGCTCCTGAGAGGTCCTCGCACGAGCGATCCAACGGCTACTGCGCCGGATTGCGGGGCCATTGGGCTGGATCCACCCAGATTAAGCCCTGCATTACACCAGTTTCGGGGGGACTAAGCCGGATTAGGCTGGGATGCGACTACAGCTATGCCAGCGCGGATGCTGACCTTAACCTCCCATGAACCGCATCCCAAGAGACAGATAGAGAGAGAGAGAGAGAGAGGGAGAGAGAAACAAAACACGACGTCGACGACTGCGGCGGCGAGAATCGAGGATCGAAGATTGAGGCCAGTTTCGCCCCTTCCGGGCTTTATGTAGGCTACTTGTGCCCACGGCCAGATCCGCCCCGACAGGTCTGGTCGGAGAGGAAGGGGAGGAGGACTAGTTTAAACCCACGACTCATCAAAAACAAATAGCAATACACCCTGACTCCAAACTCCCTCTTCATAGGCCCCATACAAAGATTGATGTTCACTGAGGGAAGTGCCCCATTGGAAGACAACCGTTTTCATACCCAGAACTGTGCCACAACACAATTCCTGGGATTTCAGCCCCGCGGATCACCGTTACTGTTTCGTCTTGACGATCCTGGATCGTGCCAGAAAAAAAACTCCTGGGAATTCAACACCGCGGGTCAACGTGACTGCTGCGCCCTGACGTTCCAACATCGTGCCGAAACACCAAGTCTCGGACGTCAACCACGAGAACCCTGGAAGCTTTTGCAAACTCTTGCGACGAGTGTGCGCGGCACTCAAGCGCAAACCACACTTGGAAAAAAACGCCCTCCATCCGTGAAGCCCGTGCAAATCTTGAAGACGGTTGTGTGCGGCGCTCCAAGGAGAACCATCCTTTGACATCTCTGGAGAGCGGGCCGTCCTCCACCCGCGAAGGTCCGGCAGGCTCTCCAGAGCGAGGGTGCGCGGCGCCTAGAGCGAGAACGGCACGCGGAGCGCGGACCGCCCTCCGTCCGTGAAGCGCTTTTGCAATGTCTTCAAAAAGAATGCGCGCGGCGCTCAGGAGGAGGAGGAGGAGGAGGAGGAGGAGGAGGAGGAGGAGGAGGAGGAGGAGGAGGAAAGCAAGCCGCCCTCCATCCGTGACACACTGGCAAATCCCACCAGCCCTTTGGGCGTGAGTGGTTTAGAGAGCCCGCTCTGTTCTCAACCCTCCTTCTTCCCCTTCGGGGAGGGGTTTACTCCTCCCCCTACCCCCTCCCCCTGGGCCTGGAGAGGGCGTTCCGCGGGTCGTTGGAGGGGTCTTTTTCGACTCCTCGGAGGGCTAAGAAACGACACCCCTCACGAGGATTCTGGCCCCGACGGGGGGGGGAGAAACCCCCCCACCCATCTTTGCTCGATCGCCCGAAAGTAGGCCCCAAGATGCCTCCCAGACTCCTCCCAAAGAGCCCCAAGAGGCCCCAAGAGGCCTCCAAGAGGCCCCCAAGAGGCCCCCAAGAGGCTCCCAAGAGGCCCCAAGAGGCTCCCCCGAGGCACCCAAGACGCTCCTGGAAGCCCCTGGAGCCGCCAAGAGGCCCCCAAGACGCCCCAAACGGCCTCCAAGAGGCTCTTAAGAAGCCCGAAGATGCCCCCCCAAGGCACCCAAGACGCTCCTAGAAGCCCCTGGTGCCGCCAAGAGGCCCCCAAGACGCCCCAAAGGCCTAGCGCCTCACGCCACGAGGAGCCCGAACGACTCACACCAGGACGAGGGGCCCGAACGACTCACACCACGAAGAGCCCGAACGACTCACACCAGAAGGAGGGGCCCGAACGACTCACACCAGGACGAGGCGCCCGAACGACTCACACCACGAGGAGCCCGAACGACTCACACCACGACGAGGGCCCCGAACGACTCACACCACGAGGAGCCCGAACGAGTCACACCAGGAGGAGGGGCCCGAACGACTCACACCAGGATGAGGGGCCCGAACAACTCACACCACGAGAAGCCCGAACGACTCACACCAGGACGAAGAGCCCGAACGACTCACACCACGAAGAGCCCGAACGACTCACACCAGGAAGAAGGGCCCGAACGACTCACACCAGGACGAGAAACCCCAAACGACTCAAACCACGAGGAGCGCTTTCTCTCCCTCCTCCTCCGCCTCGTCCTTCTCCCGCTCCCACCACAAGGAGGATGTACAAGGAGGCGGGAGGAAGGAGGAACAGGGGAGATATGCGGGGGCAGGCGGAAACACGCCTGAAAAACACGACTGTCGGCATGCTTCGCAAGAGTTGCTGTTTTGAGATGGGCTGGTGGGGATACGCGAAGCGTGAAGAATTTTGAAGGCGACATGGGCGCGGCGCTAGAACGAGGACGGCATGTTGCAAGCGGGCCGCCCTCCATCTGCGAAATGTGGGCCAGCGTGGGCTCCAAACTGTAGGTTCTTGCAGTCTGCGCGGTGCAATCCATGTGGTGCACTGTATGCGATGCAACCTATGCCATGCAATACATGCGGTGCAATCTATGCGGTACAACCTATGAGGTGCAATCACTTGCCGAACTTGAAATTGTCAACTCCACTGCTCGCGCAATAATCCCACCCACCCACCCGTAACTTGGTTTGCAAAACCCAGGACCGAGCACAGATATCGCTCCGGGGTCGTCTTGGAACCCTCGGGGGCGTCTCAAGAGCGCCTCAAGAAGGCCGGAGAAGCAAGACGGCCGAGGACGACGACGACGACGACGACGGCGGCGACGAGGACGACGACGACGACGACGAAGACAACGACGCCGACGCCGACGACGACGACGAAAACGACGACGACGTCGCCAACGAAGACGACGACGAGGGAGGAGGGAGGATGACGACGGCGACAACGACGACAACGACGACAACGACAACGAGGGAGGAGGGAGGACGGCGACGACGCAAACGACGAAGAAGGAGGAAGGACGGCGACGCCGACGACGACAACGACGAGGGGGAGGAAGACGACGACGAGACGACGACGACAACGACGACGACGACGGCGACGAAATAGGAGGGACGACGACGAGACGCGACGACGACGACGACGACGACGAGGGAGGAGGAGGAAGGACGACCACGGCGACAACGACGACGGAAACGACCACGACGCCAAAGAGGACGACGACGACGAACACGAGGAAAGACACAGGACGACGTAGGCGACGACGACGACGACGACGCGGGAGGAGGGAGGACGGCGACGACGACGACGACGCCGCAAGAGCGCGCGCGCACGCTTTTGTTGAAAATCCGCGTTGCGAAACCTTGTGTTTTTGTAGGTTTTTTGGACGCGCGATTTTGAAATCCTTCCGAAACCGATGGGTTTTGAAGGATTTCGGCGTACGCGCGCGACGACGCGCGCGTCTGCACTTCGTCCCATTTTGTTGCAGAGGATTCCCGCGACGGCACACGCGCAAGGGCGTTCGACAGATTTCGACATGCGCGCGCGACGCCCGTTTGGTAGCATGTTGTGTAAATATTGAAAAACCAATGGTTTCCTCAAGATTTCGCAAGAGCTCGCGCGTAAGCTTTTTTAGCAATTCAGTGTTACGACACCCTGTGTTTCTGTATGTTTTTTGGAAACTCGATTGCGAAATCCTTCCGGCACCGAAGGTTTTTGAGGGATTTCGGCATGCGCGCGCGACGACGCGCGCGTGTGCACTTCGTCCCGATAGTTTGCAAGTGATTCGTGAACAAGTGTTATGTTAGAACAAACAATGTCACCGCATAGTGTTTTTTACAAGGGAACTTCAGGGGGGGGATACCGGTTGGCCTGGGACATTGTGATTTCATATTTAGGATGGACATGTGGTCAGAATCATATGTGAGTTACATACCCGAAAGGGGGGCGATAACGCCAAGGGGGGGGTAGAGTCTATTCTCTTTTTAGAAAAGAGAATTTAGTTTCTGTCCACGATGAATTGTCCACTCCGCTGCTCGCGCAAACATCCCACCCACCCACCCGCAATTTGGTTTGCAAACCTCATGCGGCGGCGATTGCGATGAGTGCTTGGCGGTGGCTGGTGCATCTCTGCGGCCGCGCCAGCCCGCGCATGCGCGCGCACGCAGCGGCCAAGTACTTTGGCGCGACCGATGCGGCCGCGGTGGTGCTGACCGCTCGGCACATCCCAGCGGGCAATTGAATGCGAGTCGGCGACATGGGCCGGCGCGGTATCATGGCAACGTCGACATTTGTAGACGCGATGGTGATGATAGTAGCGATGTTGGTGACGATGCTGACAGCGACGGCGCCGATGCCGATCACGCCGAGACGATGACGGTTTCTTCGCGTCATTGATGAAGGTTTTTGAAAGGAATTCGAAATGCGCGCGCGGCAGACGCGCGAGAGTGGCTCGCATAGTATTATTTGACACGGATCGTGCCACCCCGGCACGCGCGCAAAAACGTTCGAACGATTTCGACATGCGCGCGCGCGAAGCCCGATTGGTAGAATTTATTAAAATGTTGAAAAGCCTTTGGTGTTTTTGTATGTTTTTGGACACTCGATTTTGAAATCGTTCCGAAACCGAGAGTTTTTGAAGGATTTCGGCATGCGCGCGACGACGACGCGCGCGCGTGCACTTCGTCTCGTTTTTTTCGCAAGGGATTATCGCGACGGCACGCGCGCAAGGGCGTTCGAACGACTTTGACATGCGCGCGGGCGCAGCCCGTTGGGTAGTATGTTCTGAAAATCTTGAAAAGCCCATTGCTTTCTGAAGAATTCGCAAGACCGCGCGCGCATGTTTTTTTTGAGAATCAGGGTTGCGAAGCCCTGTGGTTTCTGTTTTTTGGACACTCGGTTTTGAAATCCTTCCGAAACCGAATTTTTTTGAAGGGTTTCGGCATGCACGCGGGACGAGGCGCGCGTGTACACTTCGTCTCGATTGTTGCAAGGGATTCTTGAACACTTATGATTTTTGATATACGAGTGTGCGCGCATAATATTTGTTGCGCAGGATGGCGGGGGAGACTCAGGGGAGAGAGGAAAGTAGTATTCATATTGAATAATTGTGAAAGGGGGGTGGCACGCTCCGTCGGAAGGTCACCTCCCCCCCTGATAAATACCCATCCAGAATGCGGACCCGTGGATCTGGCGCGTGGGCGCCCAATCCAGGGACCCGCCTAAGCGACGCATGATGCGATTGCTGTCCGCATGCGGCAGCGGCGCGCGCCGATTCTGCGTGGCAGCGGGGCCCGTCGCGAATCCGCGCGCCCGAATCCATGTTGGCGCCTCCTTGAGGGTAGGGCGTTCCATGGGACCTGTCCCCCCTCCCGAGCGCGCCTTCCCCCAACTCCGCCCCGCGCAGGCGCCCGCGCCAGCGCGGCGGCGGCGGTCTCGCGCGGCGGCGTGGCTGGACGGGCTGCTCCGAAGGAGCCGCGTGAACGCTGTGCGCTTTGCGGTGTGCCGATCTGTTCTCGGTGCGTGCCCGGGGCGTGCCGCGCCGCGATCGGCGGCGCGCCGTGGGGGAAGCGAGCGGGGGCGGGCCTTCTCGCAGGGCGGCGGGGCTGCTCGGAATCCCTCGGGCCTTCGGAGAAGCCGTGTGTCTTTGGAGAGGGCTGCAGAAACTTCTCAAGCGGCAGAAGACTCTGAGGAGCCGTGTGAGCGTTATGCGCTGGGGTCGGCTATTTTATGCTTTGTAGATGCCCAAGTGTCCGACGCTGTGAGAACCGGTTGGGTCGGGAGGAAGTGGGGCAAAGTCTGGGAAAAAGTCGGTCCCGGGCAGCAGGGTTCGTTCCCTGGCAGTTCCCCGGTGACCATTTCCATGGAGGACGTTCGTTCCCTGGCAGAAGGGTTCATTCCTGTACAGAACCCCTGCTTCCATGGAAATTCCCACGAGAAGCCAAATAGCCTTTGAGGACCCTTCGCAGGGCCCTTGAAGAGCCTTCCCAGACTTTGAAGAACCTCTGAAAAGGGCCTTCTCAGAGAAAGCCTTCGAAGAGCTTTCGCAGAGCTTGTGGGGAGCCTCTGAAGAGCTGTTGAAAGCCTTCGAAGAGCTCATTTGGCGAGCTTTTGAAAGTCTCTGAAAATCTGTTCAAGAGCGTTCGAGAGCCTCAGCAGAGCCTCTGGAGGAGAAGGGTGACGACAACGATGGGGAGCCGGGCAAGGATAGGGTAAGGAGGAGCATGAGAACGAGGATTATTCTTGAGGTGGACGCGGACGGATGCTGAACTCGATGATGATGCTGATGTTGATGATGCTGATGCTGATGGTGGCAATGGTTATGCTTTTGATGATGATGGTAATGCTGGTGCTGCTGATGACGCTTGTGCTGATGATAACGGCGACGCTGCAGCTGTAAATGACGATGGTGATAATAATGATGGTTATGATCACGGCGACGATGGCGACGATTATGGCGATGATGATGATGCTGGGGATGCTGATGGTGATGGTGGTCGTGACTCTAATTCCGGTGATGCCGATGATGCGGATGCCAATGATGATGCTGATGATGGTTACGATGACAACGACAACGGCGACGATGACGATGCTGATGGTGGTGGTAGTCATGACGATGGTGGTGATGGTGGCGATTGCCATGCTGATGATGATGCTGATGGTGCTGCAGACTGGTCTGGGCTGGATAGGAACGCTTGCGACTCTGGTGAGTGCTTCCTAGAAAACAACACGTTACGAAACGAACATCGCATCCCGCGAAGGGAGTCGGAAGTCCCCCCCAACTCTATCCTAGGCCACGGCCCATCAGCGACACGACGACGAGAACGAAATGTAACGACAGGCGAGAAGGACCAGGACGCCGCCACCGCCGCGCGCGCACGCAGGTGGCCAGAAGAGGGCGGGCGCAGGCAAGATGCAACAGAGGGGGCCGCGGCATTCCGTGCGAAACTACCTGGCCAGACTCGATGCACATCGGCTCGGACAGCGGAGCGGGAAGGGGGGGGTGCAAGCATCGCGCTTGAGGCGCGCGCATCAGCAACGAACGAAGAGGAGGCGAGGTTCGTGGAGGCCGTCCTAACCCGGGCAGCTCTCTGAGGGGCCAGTATGATAGTTGGCCTGAACAGCAGAAGTTTACTGTAGTAGGCGTCAAAAAAATGGCTGTACTTCTCGGAGTAGGGTTCTCTCCAATGCCGCCAGAGGACACTCCTGCAGACGGGGTATGTCTGTCAATGTTCAGTCCTGCAGATGCTTCCGGATCCCCTCTGGGGCCATGCCGGACTTCTGGAGAAGGCGCTCCGCATCGCGTTCCAAGGTCCCCCTGGGGGCCGCTCCAGCCTTGCTCTTGCCGCCCTGCAACTTCACGCATACCTGCAATGCTGCGTGCACTGTGGCGACCCGTGGTGGCTGGTCGATCGTGGCCACCTGGCGCAGGTTGTGATGGGCTCATCATGAATCGTAGCTTGTGCATGCCCGCCGAGGTCTTGTCTGCTTTCTTGTCGAACCAACATGCTTTGATGCGGCAGTAACTCGCGTGTTCGGCAAGGGCTCTGAGTGTCTCTGCTTTGTCCTCCTTGCTCGTCTGCTCCCATAATGTTAAAGAGCTGCCGTAGCCTGAGCCTCGACTCCCTGCGCGTGCGTCATCGTCTCCAAGAAATGTGCCACCATAACCGCGAATATGTGGGGGCATGGTGGCCCGTTGTCGTGCTTCTTGATCTTTGTAATCCATTGCGTAGTCGTGCCCCGCGATCTGCGTCGCTGTGATGAGCGGAGCTGCCGCTGGGAATAAAGAACAATTGAGGATCGCGCCCGTGGGTTCCACGAAATCTCGTGCGTTGTGAGAGAAAGCCTGCGCGAGATCGCGAGCAGAGCCGCCATCGTGCTTCCTTCGTTGCCCTTGAGCTGCTGCCGCGCCTGGTGCGCGACCGTCTTCTCCGCGCGAACGCGACGATCGCCCCGTCCCGCTGCCTGGCTGGACTTGCGCTTTCCGAGAGACCGCGTCGGAGTGCTGGCCATGGCAACTCTCGAATAACAGCGGGAGGATGGCGAAATGAGAACGTGCGCGCCGTGAAAATTGAAAGGGGTCGGCGATCTGAGCCTCGCGTGACGGACAATCCGAAACCTATGGTACAGGCTCTCTGGGCGTCGTACTGATATTCGTCAAACACATGCCACTCTGGAAGGACTCTACCACATGCTTATATGCTGCGTTCCTGGGTTCAAGCGCGCTGCTGCAAACGAAACATTGGTTGCTCACCGCCGCCTTCCCAAGAACCGATCTTAGCCCGTGGTGATTGTGCAGATGAAGGAGTCCTTGCTTTTTATTTTGGAGCCTTCTGGGGCGCCCAGGGACCGTGCATCCATATTATCCATCTGCTTGTTGGGCCTCTGGGGGATCTGGGGCTTCAGGTGGCGGGGCGCAGCTCGGCGGAATAATCCTAATAACCAAGAAAAAGGCCCTCGCCATCACGATGTCAAAAGCCGTGAACCGATCGATCAGCTCCGGGTCGGAATAGAACGAAAAAGCTGCATGCCAAACATTTGTGCCATGCTATAATCGTCGTCCCCGGGCTCAGCCAAAGATGCGATATCCTCCACAAATCTGCTGGCCCAAAGGCATACAACATCACTTAGCCGGGCATCGTCGCCGACAATCTACAAGTGGCTGGCTAGCTCGGCGCGCGTACTACCTAGAAGTGCCCCCCATTCGGCAACGTAAGCTTTTGGCTTGTCCACCCACTTCTGATACCACCTGATCCTCCTGGATTTCAATTCAAGCTCAATCGATGGAATTTGCCGACGACGATATACATGCATACTAGAAGCTGAAGCCTTGTGGCTCTCCTTCTTGTACGTCGCCCTTCCCCTCATCGCCCTCCTCGCATAATGTTGGGCCCGTGTTTGTAGCTTTCTGATGTGCGTCTTTGTTGGGGTCAACTGTTCTACTCCAGCAGCTGCTGGCCCAAGGACCCGCGAAACATATGTAGCGCTCTTTTCCACTAGTGGCATACGTACTGATGCCAGTATCGCCCCATACCGTGACATCCCGCATCTATAGCTTCTAGCCTGGCTGGGAGCTCGCTGATGAAGGTGCGATCCGAGCGGATCATGCCGCCCAACATTGTGATGCGGACGAGGTGGAGGAGGAGGAGGAGGAGGATGAATCACATGTGATGCCTTGTCGTCCCCAGTTCTTGGGGACCTCTCATGGAGCTTATCTGAGCCAACTTGGGACCCGTCTGGGGCTGTCTAGGGGCCTTCTTGGGCCGTTCTGAAGCCGTCTAGGAGGCCTCTTAAGTTGTGTGTGTGTTTTTCCTTTCTTCCTCTTTTTTTAATTTTTTTCCGGGGGGCGCATCCTCACTCGTCGTCGTCATTCGTTGCGGTCGTCAGCGGAGGGAGGAGGAACGTGGGGTGGGGAGGAGGAGGAGGGCGTCATTCGTCGTCGTTATTCGTCGTCGGTCGTCAATCGTCAGTTGTCGTCCTCGCCACCGCCTTCGTCGTCAACGTCACCGTCGTCTTCGTCGCCATCTTCTGCGGTCGTCGGTCGTCGGCCGTTGGCGCCGACGTGCCCTCTCGCGAGCGTGCGCGGTCCCCTGGGGAGATGAGCGGTAGGAGGAGGAGGAGGAGAAGGGGGAGGAGGAAGAGGAGGAGGAGGAGCAGAAGGAGGAGGATGAAGAGAGCGATGATGATGATGATGATGATGATGATGATGATGATGATGATGATGATGATGATGATGATGATGATGATGATGATGATTATGATGATGATGCTGCTGCTGATGATGATGATGAGGATGAGGATGAGGAGGAGGAGGAGGAGGAGGATGATGAGGAGGAGGGGGGAAGCGGGGCCGCTCTGAAGATGTTCTGCAAACGCTCCACCTTGCGCCACAGCCGCTGCGTCTGGGAGCGAGCGGACGAGAGGCACGAGAGCCTCGAAAGGAAAACAAAAAACAGTGAGCGAAACTGAGAGAACATTCCGACAATCCAAACCTCCCGAACCGAAGGGAAGTGTAGTTATGAAAAGGTATATTCTCTGCGTGCCTTCGAGACCAGGATGGAGGCTAGCGTGTGAGCCAGACGCGCAGGGCACGGCATTGCTATGGCAATCCACCGAACACCCTTGGGCCCGGCTCCCTCGAGGTGTTCATGAGGGCGCCCTGTGCGGCTGCATATGCCCCGCCCAAAACAGATCCGACGAAGTTTTGCCAGGTCTTCGGCGGGGGCGTTCCCGACTAAAAACCTAGTTCTCTTCCTCTGGGGCTTTCCCCAGAGGCACTAGTCAGCGACGACAGAGGCGGCTCGGCTACGCGCGGCAAAAACTTTCAGTTTGTAGTCGTGCCACATCTTAGAGGTATGGGGGTTGTCGAGAACCCATGGGGGCCCCGGCAGACTGGGCGGACCTGGCCAGATCGAGAGCGGCGTCCAGCGTCGCGTTGCCGAGAGCGACCTTGGCCAGGTCACGGGCGTCAAGGCCCGGGATCCCCCTGATGAGCGTACGAGACCGAATTGGGTTGGTCCCATCTCGAGCTGCTGACCACGAGCTGCAGGGTGGGGCAAGCATCAAACCGATACATCGGCCGCGAGCGAAGTCCTGCTTAATCGGACTGCGGGCTCTGGGATCACACAGGTCTGAGGATGGCCCGTGGAGAAGTGACTTCTGGTCAGGGCGTCCAGCTTCCCGAACTCCAGGCCCACGCGCGCGTGCTTCTCGTGCCGAACGACTGACTTGAGCTTCCGCCAGCGCCCTCTATTCATCACTTCTGGCAATCCGCGGAGGTCCCGAAGCCGATCGTGAGAGGCTCCGCTGTGTCGGAGCTGGTAGGGCACCAGCTCCAGCCCGAGTGTCGCACCGGCGGCCCTCACGTCGGCCAGCAGTTCCTGGTAGCTGGACGGGAAGGCTCGCTCGGCCGCAGGCCTCGAGTTGATCTCCTTCCACGCCACGTCGAGCCACTTGAGCGATCCCGTGTCCAGCTGGGGGCTGTCGTCGAGCACCCCCGCCTTGGTCGGGATCCCCAGCTCCTCCGGGGCAAGCAGCAGGCACCAGTGCCTGGAAACTCCGTTCGATGGGGGTACGAAGTGACCGCGCCTGACACTCAGCAGCTCGGACGGCCTCAGGTAGCACGTAGAAAGCTCAGCAAGATGGCCGCCGCCTCGTAGCGCTTGCCTCGCGTCAGCATCCAGTGGCACACCGCTGCCCAGACGCAGAAGGGCATGGGGTGGCGGCTCCGGCCAGGGCACAGACGGCGCCAGCCCTTCACCGCCCTCCACGCTCGTGGGAGCGAAAGCTGCCCAATTTTCCTAAATTCCGGGAGGGCGTGCAGGACTCCGGCCAGCAGCTTCCCCCCCACGTTGGCTTGTCTCCCAGACAGGAACAGCTCCGTCATGTGGATGCGCAGGGTCCCATCCAGCTGGGGTGGCGGGCGGGGGCCAAGGCGCCGCTGCTTCGCCCAGTAGTAGAACCGGGAGACCAGGAGGTGGTTGTAGCCCCTGGTCTTGGTCTGCACGGCGTAGGACTCCAACGGGGTCCCCAGCTGTCCATGGCGTAGCGGGCGGAGACGCAGTACTTGGTGCGCCTCCGTCCGCATCGGCCCATCGTGGCGACGTCCAGGTCGTCGCTCTCCGAGCTCTCCCCCGCGTCCACCGCGTCGTCGTTGCCCCGGTCGGTGTCGCATCCCCAGAGGCTGACGCTGAGCAGGGGCCCCCCGGAAGCCTTCTTCACCGACAGGCCCTCCAATTTCGGCGCCTGCCGCTGGCTCACGGGCGCTGCCACGCCTAGGGTCCGCTTCTTGCTCTGGACCTCGGCCGGCGGCTGTGCCCGGGAGGCGCGCCGGGGCTGGCGGGCCAACGCTGGTCTCGCTGGCGCGGGCGCGGCCATGCGGGCCAGCCGCTTGGGGGCCGCCGTCCGCCGCGTGCCTGTTGGCCTGCGGCCGAGACCCACCTCCATCAGCGCCTCGTGATGGGTCGTCGGCTGGATTGAACTCTGACTTGATCCAGCGGAAGTACGGACGACTGTTATGAATAAGACACAGAGCACGAAAGCGTCGAATCTGCCGCAGCACTACATAGTTTTTGCATCTCCCTCGAGCGAACGAGAGCGTGATAACCATGTTGTCAATCAGGAAAAGGCCACGACTTTTTCGAACTCCTTCGGCGATCAGACTCTCCTGTCCTAAGACTAGTGCCCGAGCTTCCAAATCCAGATTGCGTTCTCCAAAATTCCACTTACCCTTTCCAGTAACTCTCCAAGGTGATATCAAATCGGACTCGGTGATGCTGGCCCGGGCCGAGAAGTGACCCCCTTCCCCGAACGGCACCTCCAGTAACAAGCTGTCAATCAATCATCCAGACCTCCTCCCCCGACGACAACTGTCGATGATGGTGGTGGTGTCGGTGAACGGTAGCGGATAGTGATTGTCCTGGTGTTCGTCTAACGGGTACAGTGCTGCTCTCGCTGCCTCGCGAGCTCCAAGGCCGTGCGCAAGACGGAAGCGAGACGCCACAGGGATGCGAGCTCTGCGAGCCACTGCTGCGGCCGTGAGCGAACAACGGCAGTGCCCCTCCATCCTTCGAGGGAGGCGTATGTGGCTACAACGATCTCGCACCAGGGCAAGTCCCACGGCGCCCGCACTAGGGGCAGGAATCCGATGAAGGCCTGGGGCTCCTGCCGCACGGTCGGCCACACCGCAGCCGCAGCGTCGCCGTGCCGATGGATAAGAACATAGCAGGCGTTGAAAACGCACGAGGCCGTCCGGTCCAACAGGCTAACAAAAGTGGCGTGCCCGACGAGCCGCCCCAGCTGCTTGCCATTGAGGCGTCGTCGCCGGAGGGCCCAGCGAAAGGCGCCGTCGATGCGCCACCTCCGCTTCTCGGTCACCTGCGTCTCGAGCCGGTGGCCGTCCAGCACGCGGCCCAGCGTCTCGCCCCCCCCGCCCTTCAGCTCGCGCTCGTGCGTCTTCAGGCCGACGGCGTCAAGGGCCGCGCAGCCCTTGTTGAGGGCCAGGCCCGCCGGTAGCCCAGCGCTGCCGACTGCGTCCAAGTTGTCGGCGCACAGTGCGTGCCTCACCTCGGCCCCCTTTGCCGGCGCTATCGGGGCGGTGTAGTCGGAGGCCCTCCTGCTGGGCCCAAGCTGGCGCACCTTGTTGAAGACCGCCTCGCTGCGCTTCTGGGCGACCCGCGGAGACCGCGTGAATCCCATGGGGAACGAAGCCAGGCAGGGATGCACTGGTGTCTCCCGCGCTAGGTTGTCCCGAAGAGGCGCGTGCTTCGCAGCGATCGGGTGCAGGGCGAAACGCCGGTGCATGCCGTCGGGGAGCCGCAACCTGTGGAAGCAGTTCTCGACGTCGCCGATCCCCGGGGTGAAGGCACTCGGGGCCCTCGCTGAGGCCCGGCTCGCACTCGATCCTGGACAAACCTTCGCTCGTGATCAGGTCGGTGTGCGGAGGGGCCCTGAACCGACGTCTCCCCCTCCTCGCGTCGATGATGAGCCTCGAGGACTTGTCCTTTTTACCTGCGAAGAACATGCCCGCGTGCCAAATGGGCTCGGTGGTCCACCGGATCAGGCCCCTGCGCTCAAGGTCCAAAATGAACTGCCTGTGGGTCTTCCGGTTCCGCGACAGCTTCCTGTCCCAGAACGGCTTGATATCGCAGAACTCTGGTTGAGCTTGTAAAACTCATAGGTAGACCGCGTCGTGCTCTTCCACCAACCCTCGATGATCAGGCGGTCCTCAGCGTCCAGCACCTCCGTCACGACTGCTGCATCATGGACGTGCTCGGGGAGCGAGACGGAACCATAATCGTAGGGCGCGACGGTGGTGTAGGTCTCCTCGGCATCGTAGCTGAGGTGGCCTCGGAGAAGCACGCGGGCGGCCTCTTCCTGGGAAGGCGCTGCCACCGGCTTCGCGATGACAGGGGCGACGAGGTTCGCCGCGGCCTCCTCCTCAAATTCACCTGTGCCTGGCGGCCCTGAAGTCCGCGAACCCAGGCGCCAATGGGGCGCATCCAAGGTCTCGTTCTTGCGCCTCAGCTCCTCCGCGCTCGGTCCATGTCGACGTCTGGGCCGGCGAGAGACCGCTCCCGCCCGGGGCGGGGTGTCGAAAGCGGGGAGGCGCCGATGCACTCCCATGCAGGACCTGGTAAAGGCGGCGGGGGCTGGCCCACTTCGCCCGCCGCTCGCCTCCATCATGGCGCCGGCGGGGGCGCTGGGGGCCCAGGCTAGCCTTTCTTGGTCTTGCCTCCTGCTCCTCGGCCCCCGCCGCCTTCGCCGCCGCCCGCGCTCGGTCCTGCGCCGGCCGCGCCTGGGTCGTCCTCGTCGCAGCCGTCCGCCTGCGGCGCGGCCAGCCCGCCGCGCTGCGCACTCCCCTCCAGCACCTTCTCCTTCAGCTTCCTCGCACCGTGGGTGCGCAGGTCCGGGGCCGCGGCGTCCTCCAGCATCGCGGTCCCAGAGTGCGCGCTGGCCATGCTGTAAATCGGCTTCGCGCCCGGCACCGAGTGCACCTCCAAGAGTTTCTGGAAACGCCTCATCAGCACCTCGATCCCAGCTAGGCAGGGCATGTTCACCTGGTCGTAGCGCCCGAACTGCTCGAAGCTCTCGGCGAGCACCCGCAGCTCGTGGTAGGCGCGGTCGGAAGGGGCGACATGCTTCCTCCTTCCCCACGCCTCTAACCAGGCCGTCGGCATTGGCCCGAAGCGGTCGTTGTGCTTCATGACGCTGAGAGCGGTGCACGGGCCATCGAGCGGCCAGTCCCGGAAGGAATGCGAAGTGGGCTCCCTGCGCGCCTCCTTCCAGTCCTTGTGCCGGTCTCCCTGCGCGTCCCAGTCGACCTCCAGCGCGCGCGTTCGTCGCCGCCTCGTCGTTGGTCGCCGTCGCTGCCGCTCCAGGCGGCGGCTCCCCGAGCGTGCGCTCGTTGACAGGGCTGCCTGCCCCCGCGGCCTCAGCCTCGCGGGCGCCCGCCTCTCGCCGAAACGCACCGACTGGGTCCTCGTCGAACGCGATGGCGGGCTCCGGCGGGCCCCGGGGCGTGGGCGGCGAGAACAGGGCCTGCCGCTAGTTCTTGAAGTCCTCCTCCGACAGACCTGGAACGGCGGCGATCACTGGCGCTTCCAGGCCCGTGTCCGAGATGGCCACGCCGTGCAGCCGCCCTGCGAAGACCGACAGCCGCGGCGACACCTCGCTGCCCATCTCCCCGGACGCCAGCCTGGGCTCGGCGACGCGCCAGGTCACCTCGGGCGGCTGCTCGCCCTCGGCCCTGCTGAGCGCTCCAGCCAGGACGTCCCCCCGCAGGTCGCCTCGGGCGCCGGAGCGAGCCCGCGCCGCAGCCGTGAGCGGCAGGGGCGGCCCTGGGACGGGCAGGGCTCCCCGCCTCATGAGGCGCCGCCGCGGGGGCGCCGGCTCCAAGGTCTGATCAGGCGTGGCCCACTGCGTGGGCGCCGGCCAGTCGGGCAGCCCGCGCGCGCCCTGGAGCACCCCAGCGTGGAGCTGGGCCGAGGCCATGAGGTCCAAGAACTCTCTGCGCTGGATCGGCCGGTCGAACTGCGCGATGTCGACGGCCTCCAATCCTGGCGGGCGCTCCCCGGGGCCCTTGATGGACACCGCCTTCTCGTGCAGGGTGGTGTCCTCCACATAGAAGTCTCCCTGGGCTGTGTAGATCACCCAGGTCGACGCCGCGAGGGGCCACGCCAACGCGCACTCATGGCCCCAGGCGTCACCCTCGAAGAACACCGCGAACATGTGCCCGGGCAGGGGCGTAATGGGCACGACGATCGCCGTGCTCCCACGGCTCTGTGCGGCACCCGCACGCAGTGATCAGGCCACCCGCGAAGCTGGACACCGTGCCGAAGACGATCTGCAAGACACTGGCCGTCGAGAGAATTCTCCCGCACCAGCTCCGACAAGTACACCACCGCTGGCTCGCACTCCGGCTCGACAGGTGGTCCAGCGTCCCCAAGGCACCCCTCAGGTGCTGGGCGAGGGGTGCAGCGCTCAGAAGACTCTTCGCACCTCACGGGTGCGGGGCAAGGGGTACACACCTCGCACTCGTGGCACACCTCGCACTCGACGGCCCGAGCGGGCACCTCTGTGTCCTCCACGGCCTCTCGGTGGGCGGCCGCCTGTCGGCGGGTCACCGCCGACTGAAGCGCGAGCTCCCCCAGCGCCAGCGCGCCTTCCAGCGCGAGCCCTCGCCGATCCGCCAGGCGACCCGCCAGGATGTGCCCCACTCCTGCCAGATTTGGAGCGGCGGGCGCGGGGGCGGGGCATGAGCGCCTGACTCCAGGCGAGAAAAAAGGCTTGGGCCGCACTGATTGCGGACAGGCGCTCGGCCCAGCCCCCCTCCTTCACGTGCGCGCACCCCCAGGAGGAGGAGGAGGAGGAGGAGGAGGAGGAGGAGGAGGAGGAGGAGGAAGAGGAGGAGGAAGAGGAGGAGGAGGAGGAGGAGAGGAGGAAGAGGAGGAGAGGGAGGAGGAGGAGGAGGAGGAGGAGGAGGAGGGAGGAGGAGGAGGAGGAGGAGGAGGACGAGGAAAAGGAGGAGGAGGAGGAGGAGGAGGAGGAGGAGGAGGAGGAGGAGGAGGAAGAGGAGGAGGAGGAGGAGGAGGAGGAGGAGGAGGAGGAGGAGGAGGAGGGGAGGACGAGGAAGACTTTGATGGGCCATTTTGGGGCTGTTTTGGGCTCCTGTGTGGCACTCAGGGGTTTCCTTGGGGCTGTGCTTTGAGAGGGCCTCCGGGGCCGTCTAGGGGATCTCGTGGGATGACTTGGGGCCCTCTCGGCCGCCTTGAGTGTCCCCTGGGACCATCCTGGGCCGTGTAAGGACCCTCAGCTGCAATCCTGGTGGCGTCTTGTGCAGAATACGTGCTGTATGCGTGGTGTATGTGTGCTTGGATACGTTTTGTATACGTGTCGTGTACGTTTGAAATAATCCCACCAGCCCTGTGGGCGTAGGTGGTCTAGAG